TAGCATGTTTTGTGCGACAGTGAAAATGGGAGGGCCTACTTTCTGCCGGGTTCCCAAATGGGGTAATAGAGAAGTGAACTTCGGAAGAAGAGGTCTTTGGTGAAGATAATGTGCTTATTGCTCGTACCGTGTGCGTCTATACGTTTTCTAGCGGAATTTGGGCCCTAGCATGTCTTTCTCCCTTGTGAATTTGCGTGATACTTATGCTGTTTTAATGGGCCTTTCAGGGAGGAGGCAAGGTTGCAATTCGAATCTGATGACAGAGTTGTCAACTCCCGTGCTTAAGTGCAATTGCGCTTTCTCCCCCCTTCCCAAACTTTGTATTTGTTCGCCTGACCACTTTCCCCCTAATAAATATGTCGAAATTATATTCACCAGGTTGTTCTAAGAACGCTAGGAACAGAGAAGAGGAGAGCTGTGAGTCTCGCCATGCATTTGTTCAAGTCGAAATGACCTTAACCTATTAGTAAGCACTAGTAGGTAAGTTTTGTCACTGAGTAATATTTACCAACTAAATAAGGCAGAAAGAGTAGAAATCCAGAAATTTTAGGAACGAGCATATTTCAAAGTATTAGACGGAAAGGACTTGCTCTCTAGTGCAGCGGACTTCTACAGGAAGATGAGATGAAAGCTATAACGATCTGTTCGTGTCTTAACGCACCCTAATTTCTCACGCATCTATTCTATTTCCTATGTAGCTATGTGGTTGTCAAGTCTCCAGTCAGTGTACAGGGGTGATAACCTGGTGGAGACAGAGTGTTACTTTCAATTTTCTATCAATATCGGCTTGCTAACAGCCATAGTAACGATGTGCTAGTCTGTCTCAGAGAGTCCTCCCTTCATGTATTTGGGCCATCTCACCCAGCACGATGATAGCGCTATTCGATCCAATGCCTCTGGTCACATTCGCCTCCTACTCTGTGCCGATTGAATTGGTTGCCTGCACCGCCACATAGCATGCCACCGTCCAGTTCCGATTAACAAGCTTGTTCAACTCGTTGCCAGCGATGCTGCTTTACACACTTTACACATTCAGTGTATGTATCCTTCCACCCACCAACACTGTCACGCGAACATCATGCTTGTTTAGGCTTAAATTACACGCTGTCTTTTTTACAAAATACATCATTTATTACTACATTTGATTATAATTTCATCATGGCTAGTGGTCTTCTTCAATGCATGCACAAGGAATTCAACGGAAAACTATGCTTTTATGGACCAGCGGCAAGTATCAATTGACAATTACAGTCAAATTATGGAAAATTCCAGGTGCATAATTTTTATGGGGTGGAATTCAATTTATTTTAGTTGATTTTAAATTATCAGAGGTCACAAAGCGCCGCATGGGATGAGTTAACCATCCTGACACCCTAATGACAAATTCCCTCCCAAAATTACTACGCAATACAATGCATTCTTGAGTTGTGGTTGCCACAAGATAAATCGACTAACCTATATCCTATTTGAATTAACAGACACCGTTGGCGACACCCTTATGTTTGGAGACTTACCTCACTACTACTGCATTGGTCGATGTGCTATTTTGGTGCCTCTATATAATGCAGATCTGCTAAGCAATATGCTGTGGTAGGCGCTACCAACGCGGATCCACTTGGCTGTGAATTACACTGGCTGGCGAAGTGATCCATATGCTTGATTTAGGCTCAAATTCTAATTTAGTGCTTTGTCTTGGGAAAACTATTGCAAGAGTAGAGCGAGCTCAGTAGGTATTTTGACTTTACGGCAGAATATCGACTTTACTAAATGGTGTTCAGTAGGCCTTTTTTATTGTAAAATCGAATGTGCTTGTTGTCTAAAATTTCGAATGCTCTTTTGATACCACATCATCAGTTGTCAATACCTCCCACTCCTTAACTCGTTCAAATTCCCATAACCCAACATGGCTGAGCAGATTTGTATCATTCATTAAAGAAAAAAATCTGTAATAATTGACTTATAAGTAGTCTATAATTCTGATCAGTTCAAAGCTAATTCAAAGTTTCATTAATATGAAAACATCCACCTATTCTTCCACCTATCGATTTGCAACAGTCAGGAAGAGATTCGCAGACAGCCCCTAATTTTGACAATTTTTTGACCTCGTCTACATTAGTTGCCGTCTTATTCCAAATCCAATGTATTTACTCGCTTCCTTACCCACCTTCCCTGATCCACATCGATCATTCTATCCACAGGTCTGAACTACCAACCGTCACTTATTCTGGCATTGACCGCGATAAAACTACTCTTCCTTACAGACACTTCTCAAGGAATCACCTCAGCCCTGTTTAAATGATACAAGGAAAATTGAAAAGTAAGGAGGTATTCTTTAAATTGTCCAAATGTACCAAGAAAAGACATGTTATGATAATGATCCTGTTATGCATAATTAAAGATAAGACATCAGTCGTAATTTGCTAAACTACGCAGATAGATGGAAGAAGTCAGTTTTTGCCGAACAACACCTTGGTGTGAGTAATGCTTCCCTTGGCGTTAGCATTCTACGATTTCTCTTCCTTACCACTGCTCAACATGCAGAGTGCGTGTTCTCTTTTTAACGGAATTCGGCTTGCTGTGGAATGTGCAGTGATAGAGGCAGCCAGATTAAAATACATTTGATAAGGATGCGATATGGACTAATAATATAAATAATTAACCTTTCCTTCCTCTCCTCTTTTTTCCCTTTGCACAGATATCCGTGTAAACAGTCAATCTGAACCCCTAATTCTGACCAACTACTAATCGTTGTCATTTTATGGAAAGTCCAACTTTTAAGTACTTGGAGGTGCAGGTCTACATGCAAGTTTTGAGGTTGAACATTTTCCACCTTGTAGGATGAACCGTAAGATAGGTGGCTAGACCTAGGAACTGTGGAATCGTCAGTGTTTCAATGGCTTCCCTCGTCAGGTGTGTCTGTCTAGAGTCAAGTATTGCACGGCAAAATGTAAAAGAATAATAAAAAACTGATTAATAAAAAAAGCCGGACGGAAAGAGAGACAAATATTACAGGGCCAGAGGATGGCCAACTGACTGGTGGACATGGTAGTTTGAAACTCTGTGGGTTCTTGCCATGAGGAAGATCAGTATAGCGGATTTTAGTTGAGGCGGGGCATTTGCGTGGCAGGTGGATACACGAGAATCAAAGGCAGGCGCTTATACCCCTACGATAG